TGTTAGGGTTATTGTTAGGGTTATTGTTAGGGTTAGGGTTAGGTTTAGGGTTAGGGTTTTTGCATCATTCCTTGATATACGGAAAGTCTGTGCATCATTTGATGATACACAGAAATCTGGGCCCAAGGATAGAGAACATGTCACCCTCATGGTGGTTCTCTATCCTTGAACCGAAATCTGTGCATCACTTCGTGATACCTACGGACGTAAGGTGCCTAAAGTGGATTTGCGCCCTTGCAGTGTGCCACTTGAAGTTGAACTTCACTTGTGCACGAATCAAATTCAATGTAAACTAAATATGTAGTGACTACTATTACTTACTTTTTAAGTTCCGGAGGGTGTGCTTTACTCATTCTGACGTTTTACAGATATCTGCTATGGGAAAATACTAGTTGTTTTTGTGAAACAACCAAGAACAGATAAAGCAAGTTTCGTACAACATGCGCTATTCCTTTGTAGACTGGTGCTGCCACCTAGCAAAAATATTTTATAGGTGTCTCTGAAGTCAATCTGTTGCATGAACGTGCCAACAGGTGCCAACGTAGAACAGGAAGAGCATTTGTTTTGATGAGTGAAATTTCGTGTACGATATCTTCAACCTCAGATTTTAAAAGGATTTGTACCATATCGTGGGATTAAACCGAAACCGCTATCATCAATGAACAGCTGACGTGTTTGTCCATTAATTTGACACAATGAGTCAAAGATCTGATGGGCTTGTACAGCGGAAGTCTACTGCCATAAAGAAGGAAAACCAGGAACCAGCCAGTGAAAATGAACCCGAGGAAACTAGCAACTCGTGTGATGAAAATGAACTTGATCATGATTCAAAAGAAACTAGACTTACGTTGATGGAAGAAGTTCTTCTTCTTGGACTAAAAGACAGAGAAGTAATAATGATAATTTTTGTTAATATTAATTTTGTCAACGTAACGTATTTAGTGAAGGAAAACTAAAACTAAGTAAAAGCTAAATACTAGTGCCAGTACTAGTAGTAGTAGTAGTACTAGTACCGTCTACTATAGCTCTAGTACTATAGCCCGCGGATCGCTGCCGCAGGGCTATAGCACATTCTGCCATAGATGTAATCTAAGCAAATGGTCCAACTGATGTGACCAATAATTTATCCCCAAAACGTAAAATGATCGGGCTTTTTAACACTTATCTATCAACATGGACATCTCACCTATCTTTTTGAACACTTCCACAACTTTACACCAGGTATTTATGCTGTTATTCCTCAAAGTCTTAGCACTGAAGAGTCACGCGTGCACACATAAGCAGAGCAACCGCATTTGAAAACAAAACACCAGTAGTGCTAAGACTTTGAGGAATAACAGCATAAATACCTGGTGTAAAGTTGTGGAAGTGTTCAAAAAGATAGGTGAGATGTCCATGTTGATAGATAAGTGTTAAAAAGCCCGATCATTTTACGTTTTGGGGATACATTTTTGGTCACATCAGTTGGACCATTTGCTTAGATTACATCTATGGCAGAATGTGCTATAGCCCTGCGGCAGCGATCCGCGGGCTATAGTACTAGAGCTACGTCTACTACTACTACTGTCATTTTTGAAGCATCAGGTGCAGGTGTGAGGTGAGGTAACTGGTAAGTGTAAAATGTTATTTGTGCATAACATCAGCCAATAAAGGATGAGTATAGCCTATAGGTTAGTACTGCTCATAAAGACATGGCACGTTCGAAAAGTGGAACTCGTGGTGGCATCCATATATATTCGTGGTCAGTTTTAATTCAGACTAGTTACCAAACTTCAAAAGTCGCCTTTAATTTTATTATGGTGTTATCAGACGTGATTTTTTACATTCATGGAGTGCAGTTGAATAACAAGGGAAGTGTGATGCTAAACTCTAACAGTGATGCTCTTACAATAGAAAGAAAAACACTAAAATGCCAAAAGTGGCATTTAACAATAGGTGTTCATTCCATAGAGGTGACTGCTAACACAGGTTTGAATGTACCAATTACTACGTAAAAGTCCATCCGTGGGTATCAGGTTTCACAAAGCTAATTATACAATTCACGAAACCTAGATTACCAACTAGGTTTCAACCGATACATATATGGTTTAATGTGAAATCTTCCAAGGAAATATGGTGAATGGCATAGGGTTATTTTCAAAGTTTACAGTGTTTCAATGTTTTATGTGATTTTGTTTACATTTTTAATAGTAGGTCACGGGGAATACAAAATATAAAGATTCCTCTCATAAATACATGCATGAATGCACACGCAAGCATGTACGCAGATGCCAGCACATCCACGTTTTTCCATTTTTTCTCCCCTGTAGTGACAGCATCGTTAAAGCGTTGCCGTATCGCGTCGTCTCTTTCAGGGTTACACGTCGTTCTGGAATGATTGTATATCGTCTGGTCTGCGAGGCTGTATTCTCATTGAACTGGGTCTTCGCAATCGTCTTGAGCTAGAAAAGGCCGGGATGCGGCGGCGGAGCCTGCTGAACAGGTATGTCTTCGATCTTAACTAGGGCCCGAAGTTTTCTGCTTTATAAATGTCAAATTCTGCTTTCTTCTGCTTTACAAATCTCAAATTCTGCTTTCTTCTGCTTTACAAATCTCAAATTCTGCTTTCTTCTGCTTTCTAAATTTCGCCATTCTAAATTTCACCAAAAGCTTAGAAAAGCCTTAATTTTTAGCTCATCTGACATAGTCAGATGCAGCTTGTAGAATCGCATGATCGTGCGTCCGTCCGTGCGTGCGTCAACAGTTGGGCACAAATCTTAACCGCTCGACGTACGGTCACGATATTCGGCACATCGGGGGGGATCGTCAAAACGAGTTGGGATGTTGAAGCTGGGGGTCAAAGGTCAAGAGGTGTAAAAGAAGGGGGAACATTCCCTCCTTAACTTAAGGTATAGGGAGGAAATGCAGAATTGCGGCACAAATCTAAACGGCTCGACCTAGGCTCGTGATAGTCGGTGTATAGCATCATGGTAGGAAAAACCATCACTGTGCCGAAATTGGAGGTCACAGGTCAAAGGTCAATGGGGCCAGGGCAGATTTTAGACATTTTCTGAGGACATGGTCTGACGGAGCGATTGAAAAACTTTTTTGCTTCAGCGGTGACCTAGCATTTTTATGGCTTTATTGAAAGGACCATGAAATGTACTTTCCGCTGACATGCGAAGAGTAAGTGTCGGATAACCTTTTGACCCTCAAGAGGAGGGTTAAACATGGATTTGTTTCTCTCAACTGCGTTGGCGAGTACCTGTGGGTGTGGAAAGCTCCCATTTTACAGTGAAATTCCACACATAACTCTTACTTGAACAATGCTTACTTGACTCATATATAAGATTCTGTAGTGTACATTATGAATAGTTGGAATACAGTCACTAGCACTCAAATAATTACCCAGGAGTGAGGCTGCGGATTTCCCAAACTTAATTTTCTCATCAAATTTTGGCACAAATATAGACGCAAGTGTGTACGTTCTTGAGCTTATTCGGTCCACTAATCACTGGCCTACCTTGTACTGAAATTAGTTTAGAGATATTTGCTATCGTATTGCTGTAAATTGTAATCTTGCACAAGCTGCTCTGCTTCTGGTTGTATCAACCATTGAGCTATTTTTAACGAGCCAGATGTGCCTCGCAAGGGGTTTAATGTACCTTTTTACCTGACACCATAGAACGCATGTTTTGTATAGTAATAATATGGTAATTATTCGCTCCTGCTTTTTGCAATTCGTCGTCACACTGACAGCTGCTGCCATTGCTGCAATGCTTTTGCTGACCGATGCAACGTTGCCTTTAATAGCGGCCCGCCATCTATCGGAATTTTATTACACTAGTTTGAAGTGTTGTTTTTTGGGGTTAGAAATGAACGTATGTATAGGACGTCTTGCTATGCACAAATGAATTTATCAGCAGAACACCAGACACCAGATGCGACCTGTCGCTCTGCGGCACTTGTTTTTATTTGTATGCAAGAGATGAAAAACCGGTTGAACGCGTTGAATGCGAGCGATCAGCCGGGCGTATGGGATCGCGAGCGAAATACGCTGCCGTGAGACTCGCGCCCGCCCGACCCGCGCACACCACGCGGACCCCGACATCGTATTTATCGATCGCAAGCGGCCAGCGTAGAAAATCGCGGGATCGCGAGCGAAATACGCTGCCGTGAGACGCGCGCCCGCCCGACCTTCGCACACCGCGCGGACCCGGCACCGTATTTATCGATCGCAAGCGGCCAGCGTAGAAAATCGCACAGTGTGTCGTAGGCTCCTAGTCCGTTAATTTTTACATCTTTTTTCAAGACTGAGTTTTCCGCTTTCTCCTCCCGTTCCGCGATTTCCGCGGAAAATCCGCTTCGCGGAAAACTTCGGGCCCTAATCTTAACCGCTTGAATTCACAAAACTTCACTTTGATGCCGATTCATTGGCATAAAATTTGGAGGGTTTATTGTGTTCCTAATGTTTCTCACATCGTCAGCCCAGTGAGTTTGTTGTATCGAAATCGATTTTGGTTTGTTTTTTCATTTGCTATTGAAGTGTTTATGATTCATTGAAAAGTGTATGTCGTTATTAAAAACATATAACAAATATTTATATTGTATATTTCATTAAATTTTTACAAAAACGTTTATATAGCAGATCACACAAATTTAGTAAAATCTCACGTCTGTTTACCTTCCATCTGCGCTGTCCGTCTTCGCAGGAAAATTTAGTAAAAACTCGCGCATCTGTTTGCGATCAGTACCTACCATCTATCTGTGTTGTTCATCTTCGCAGGAAAATTTTGCTGAAGTCGGATGCACCGACCGGCGATGTGCTCCTTGACGAGGCACTGAAACACGTGAAGGAGACTCAGCCGCCGGAGACTGTGCAGAGTTGGATAGAATACCTTAGTGGTGAGTGACATGCAGACACAGCGCTGGGGAATGCGGTGAATTAGCTGAACTTTGCCATAGGTGACCCCCACCCCCACATCATTACCTCACTAACCTCTTGAAAGTGATAATTATGTCAAGGGATGCTTGTGTTTACCTTACACGTGTGATGTGAAAACTATAATGGAAATTCAGTGCATGTACTTGTATTTTAGTTATATAAAATGAAGATGTACTTAGTAAGAATTTATTATATTATTATAATTATTATATTCGAAGTTATGCAACAACTAGTCTAGAGATTGCAGTGGTGTACCTCAAATATTTTTTTGGGGGGCAAGGTATTTCAAAATGGTTGATGTAAAGTCTGCATCTGTGTTCCAAGGTGCAAATGATAGCATGGGAGTTTACGAGCCAAATACCAGCTGTGGATCAGGAAAGTGTGTGTGAGGTTTAGTTTTACCTTACAGACGTCATTATTATGGGCCAGTGTTTTACATATAATTCTGTATGTGTGTGAATTGTGATGGCAAACGCAGGGTCTGCAATCTAGTGCATTTAGCAGAATGGGTTTGTTAGTGATGAATATGTGGTTAGTAGAAATTATAATACTAACAATAAGCATGAAAAAAATCTGGCACAATGACAGAAAATAAACCAGAATGTTATCCAGCAGTTACATCCAAAGATAAGCATCTAAACACGTGTCTTACATTGATTTTCATCCATTGGTGTCTGGTGTGCAGTTTAATTCTGCAAATGTGTCTACAGCGACAGTTTTATTGGCAAAGAAAGTGAAAACTGTTCATGTTGATCATTATTATTTAACCTAATCTGGGACGTATAAAGTTTGCTTTCAATATATGCTAATGGTTTTTCTATAGGTTGTGTGCATGCGTAAATTTAATCTTCTAGTCTGTCTCCACGTCTGCTTGACAATATTATCCCATACTATTCCCATAATGCAAACCTGAATTATGGGTGATACTCCATTAGGAGTGTTCCTAACTTTAATGTCATAATAACATTATCAATTACATAATCAATGTCATAATAACTTATATATATTATATATATTGGTCATATATTAGTTTGTTAGGGTTAATTTTAGTTAAATAAAATTTTTAATAATAATATTTTTTTTAATAAAATAAGGTTTTAATTAAATATAATGTTAGGGTTCATTTAAGGTTAGGGTTAGGATTATCAATCATTAATCATTAATCATTAAAATAATATCAAAGTTGGGAACACTCCTAATAGAGCGTTAGCCTGAATTATTTAGATTGAAGATGTCATTTTATGTCTCTTCTTTGTCGTCTGTACTTTTTGCATTGTCCCACCTTACGTTTCATTTGGAACACTGCGTCGAATTATGGGTGGATTCTAAATGAAGATGTTTCCATTCTTAGTTGCTGTGATCTAAGGGTCAGTGAGCTCAGAAGTGTGAAAATGAAGTACCCATAGATCTGTAGTTATACTGGAGTTATAGTCTGCTGTACTCGTACAGTAAGACATGCAAGGCTGCGTACACATACATAAACTTGTTTGGCAGGTAACTCAGTATGGGTAGTTGGCTGCTTGCTAACACGAGAGGTAAATGACCAGGAAGTGACAACTTCTAGGCCAAATTCTGAAAGCGACAGTGAAAGGCTGTATTATATATATACATATATATATATATATATATATAGATATACTATATCTATATATATATATATATATTATATATATATAGAAGTAGAAGTCACACACGAACACCCGTGTAGAATAAAAACAAAGTCAAGGTATAGAATAAGGGTGGTTTAAAAGTTTTAATTGACGAGCTTTCGAGATTACGATCTCCATCAGTCAGGAGGTCAGAGACACTTGGAATAGAATCAAATAATCCAAAAACAATTAAAACACAATGGTCGCGCGTTGCAATGAATTACGGACGACAAAAAGACACGCACAAAAACATTACACGAACACGAGAGAGGACAGCATCAGCAAACACCACACACAACACCAGACAGCACAACATGGCCACAAACACACACAACAGCACACACACACACAGGCACACACACACGACACACACAACCACACCGCGGGGACACACACACACACCAGCACACGACACACAACTATACACACAAATACAAGCGAAGCAATGGTACTCAAAAGTCAACAGAACAGTAGCTCGTATATTTTGAGTCCCATCACCTCGTATGTGTGCCTCTGCGCCCAGTGTGTGCTGTATAGTTACCACATACGCATACATACGAGGCTCACCCGTATGCTCGATCACCTCTTGACTTATGGATTTATTAAGTATTATATATACTAGGGGCGTAGCGAGTATGGTAGCACTGTAGGCCGGGCCTACACTTTTTGTTGGGCCAAGATTATCTTGTTTTTTTAAACAACGCATCCATAATTCAAATCCATTAACGCTTTGCTAAACGGTTTAAGAGTCTATGACAGGAAAACTATTGAAATAACTAGCAAGAAATATGGTCTAAAATTAGGTGACGCATATTGCTTCTTCATCTAGGCTGTCATTTCTATCGCTGCTGTTTCATTCAACACTCTACCCGCCCGGAAAAAGACTACGGATCCGATCTTTCAGTTTTTAACATTTTAACTCGTTCGTAACACTATTTTAACGCTCGTTGTTTTTTGGGTTTAAAAGTGATTATTGAAATGAGGTGTCCAAGTTAGCAGAAGAGGCCACGGGAACCAGATAGAACATCGGCGGTGAAAGTGGGGCCGTTTTCGGCCATCTGGGGGGTATTGTTAAAACCACACAAATTTTCTTTTAGGTACGCTCACGCCAACGATGGTGGCGCTCTGCGCAGTAGTCGTGCCTACAACTTTTAAAATCCTGGGTAGCCCCTGATATATATTATATCATATATATATATATGCTAGGCCAAATTCTGAAAACGACAGCTAAGCGCTGTAAGCATATATATATATATAATATATCATATATATAGTATCATTGTAGATCTATGTTCAAAGTGTATATATATGTAAAAATAAGGAACAAACCACGGTGCTCATCGTAGTCAACGTCTGTCCGTATGTCATTCACTTCCTGTATGTCAACCATAGCTCCAGGTGGTTCAAATCACTGTCAGTCAGTGTCATTTGGCTAGCCTTAGGGTCACATGACATTAGGTTAGGATTAGGGATGGATTAATAGTTCCCTAATTCCTATCCTGTTATAACAAGCGAGTAGATGCATAAGAACATTTTTACTAGTCGTATACAGGCAAGGCCCCGTACGCAGGGGGGTTCGGGGGGGTTCGACGAATCCCGCCCCCCGGAGCCCCCCCCGTGGACATCGAAAATTTTGGTACTTTTTTTGAAGAATGTGTAAGAATTTCACCTCAGGTCGCCTCCATTTTAGGTAATAATCTGCCAAAATCTCCATCGTGGGGGGGTGAAGCATGAACACCCCGCCTCCCACACCTCCCCCGCTCGCGTCCCGCTTTCGCCCTGCTTCTGAGCAGGGGCGTGGTACAGGGGCGTCCAGAGAGTCGCGGACACCCCCTTCGCGTGCTCGCAAAACTTTGGGTTACGGTTAGACCTTCCCCCTCCGCTGGTACAAATCTTGTACTACGCCCCTGCGAGCAAGTTGCCAACATTGAAAAAAACGAACCCCTCCCCACCCCGGAATATAAAGTGGCTAGCGGCCTGTATACAGCATCAAAATATATGCCATAAATTAAAAGCTGCATGCGGCAGCTGAGTCGATTGATCCGATTCGTATATTATGCCTATAGGTGGCAGGGTCTGTAATAATTCATGGTGTTGTGGTGAGAGAGAATACTATATCAATAGTGTGTCTATATTACCTATTCAATGCTGTTGTTACCTCCGCTAAGGGGTTGGCAGGAGGTTATGTTCTCACCGGCGTGTGTTTGTTGGTTTGTGGGATGTCATCAAATTTTCAGGATAGGTGCAGAAATGGGCTATAACTTAGAATTGATTACATGTTTTGGTGGTGATTCCGGGATCTAATTAATTAATTAATTTATAAATTGTTAACAGTGAGAGAATTGAGGCTGCCTTGGCGGAGGTCTGCGCTCTCCGAGTGCTCTAGTTTATGCTATGTTATGTTCAGTTGCGTGACTGTCCCACTGCACGGGTTATATTGGCAAAGTAGTTATCCTGGGGCCCGTTGTCAGAAACATTGCAAAGTTAAAACTAATGTTAACACTAATTTTGTTTCTGACGGGCCTCAGGTATCGAAGGCTGGAATCGAGCCCCGCCGCCCCCCAAGCACCTTGCCTAAGAGTAGGCTGTAACTATGGTAGTGGAGGGACGTTTATTTCCTCATCAGTTATCCCATTAAAGTGTCTCCCCTCTCCGATGGTACTTCTAGAGGCGCGCGCGCGCGCTCATTCTCACGGGATTTTACTCAACATCTCAAGAAAAAAAAGCGAAGAATATTGCGCGATGAATTAATGCATTCAGGACCTGTCTACTTCTTTCCCGTGACGTAATACCTTACGTTATGCTGTCTACTTCTTTCCCGTGACGTAATCCCCTGCGTTATGCTGTCTACTTCTTTCCCGTGACGTAATCCCCTGCGTTATGCTGTCTACTTCTTTCCCGTGACGTAATCCTCTGCGTTATGCTGTCTACTTCTTTCCCGTGACGTAATACCTTACGTTATGTTTTCTGTCTACTTCTTTCCCGTGACGTAATTCCCTGCATTCTGCCGTCTGTCTACTTCTTTCCCGTGACGTAATTTCCTGCATTCTGCCGTCTGTCTACTTTTTTCCCGTGTCGTAATTCGTTGCGTTAGCCATCCGTCTGACTGGCCTGCGTGCGTGTGCTTGCAGGCGAGACTTGGAACCCGCTGAAACTCAAGTACCAGCTGCGCAACGTGAGAGAGAGGCTGGCAAAGAACCTCGTGGAGAAGGGCGTGCTGACGACGGAGAAGCAGAACTTCCTGCTGTTCGACATGACCACGCACCCGCTGACGGACAATGTCGTCAAGCAGAAGATCGTCAAGAAGGTGAGGCGGCGGATATTTTGTTTTGTTTTTCGACGCTCGGAGGATGCGTGATTTCATTCTCTCTTTTCTCTGTGTTTTTCGACGCTTGGAGGATGCGTAATTACTTTCTCTTTTTTCGATGTCTTGAATTTCTAGTGCAAGTTCCTTCCGTTTTTTCATTTTTATGGTTGTTTACGTGTTGCGCTAAGTATTCGGCATGAGAAGGTGAGCGGTGTTTGTCAGCGAATGCGGGACATTTATTTCCGCGTCTCGTATTTCTAGTGCAATTTCTCCAGTTTACGTTTCGGTTGTTTGCGTTTGCGACCACTGGCAGCAAGAACAAGTCCGCACCTGCAGCTACAGTACACACGCATCTATTGACTATAATATATATACAACATGGTGCTTAACTCGCCGCCGCACTTTCCACAACTCATCGTTGTCAATTAGTCATAACTCCGGTGTTCCTGCAGGTGATGCCACTTTCCAACTATCGTTGGAATCGCGGAAGACTGCTTAACAAGCCACACCCGCCATTTTTGGCAATCGGCCCGCCAGAATGCGCTCAAATCACAGAAATTCCTCAAATATCCATGCGAAACGATCCTTCGAATGTTACACGGCAAAAAGGCGGCAGGGCCAAACGTTGGCGGCTGTGCTGATTGGCTGCAGCAAGTTTAATGTGCAGACAGGCTGCGCAACAACGTTGCTGCAGGCAATCAGCGCAGCCGCCAACGGTTGGCCCTGCCGCCTTTTTGCCGGGTAACATTCGAAGGATCGTTGAGCTAAAGCGTCGTCCGCTTGCCTCTCCCTCCACAGGTACAGGAATCGGTCTTGGTCACTTCACCGGCATCTCCACCCACCCCGTGTTACAGTAGCAACGCGTAGTTTTATCGAGTATTGTGGTGAGCTAACGTTGTCCACTTGCCTCCGCGCAGGTGCAGGAATCGGTGCTGACCAAGTGGGTGAACGACCCGCACCGGATGGACAAGCGCATGCTGTCGGTGATCATGCTCGCTCACTCGTCCGACGTGCTCGAGAACGCGTTCGCGCCGCTCTCCGACGAGGACTACGAGGTCGCGATGAAGCGCGTGCGCGAGCTGCTCGACCTTGACCCGGAGGTCGAGTGCATGAAGGCGCAGGCCAACGACATGATGTGGGCCGTGTTCGCCGCCTTCACAAAGTAACGAGAAGCGAAGACGGGTAGAGAGGCGAGGACGGTAGCAGCGGCACAGCGGTGGCAACGACAGCATCGGCAACAGCGACGGCGGCAACGACAACGGTGGTAGCAGCAGGCAGCAAGTGGTTCCACTGACGATTTCGGCGAAGCCATGTCTCGCGTGTGCACAGAGAGCCAGCGGCGCCTTCTTCTTCTGCGTGCCGCCACCGCCGCCAAATGTGACACGGCAGCGGATCGGAGACGGATCGGGGGAGGTCGAAAACCGTGTGTCGGTGTCGCGTGTCGGCCGAAGCAGACATCCGTGGATTGTTGGCGTTGCGGATCATTGGTGCCGCGGATCGTTGTCGCCGTGGATTGTTGGCGCCGTGGATCGTTACCACCGTGGATTGTTGGCGCGGCTCTCGGGGATGCTCACGTTAGTTTCTGTGGCTGTGTTTGGCTTCTTCCGGTGGGTGACTATCCAGAGCATCACAGATGATCGAGAGAGAAAGAGAGAGAGAGACAGAGAGAGAGAGAGAGAGAGGGCTTAGGATTGGCTTGGCTGAGGTCATTTTTGGCCCCATTGAACTTGTGATCGGAGCAGAGTCGGGTCGATACGTGTGGCGACGGGGCTTAACGACTGCGGACTATCGTGTAG